GAACACAGAATTTCATTAAAAAAATATATCTAACAAGTACCATCTGTGTATCAGTGAACAATCACTCCATACCACCTTATTCTAACAAGTACCATCTGTGTAGCAGTGAACGCTCACTCCATACCACCTTATTCTAACAAGTACCATCTGTGTAGCAGTGAGCACTCACTCCATACCACCTTATTCTAACAAGTACCATCTGTGTATCAGTGAACACTCACTCCATACCACCTTATTATAACAAGTACCATCTGTGTAGCAGTGAACACTCACTCCATACCACCTTATTCTAACAAGTACCATCTGTGTATCAGTGAACACTCACTCCATACCACCTTATTCTAACAAGTACCATCTGTGTATCAGTGAACACTCACTCCATACCACCTTATTCTAACAAGTTCCATCTGTGTAGAAGTGAACACTCACTCCATACCACCTTATTCTAACAAGTACCATCTGTGTATCAGTGAACACTCACTCCATACCACCTTATTCTAACAAGTACCATCTGTGTATCACTGTGCACTCACTCCATACCACCTTATTCTAACAAGTACCATCTGTGTAGCAGTGTGCACTCACTCCATACCACCTTATTCTAACAAGTACCATCTGTGTAGCAGTGAGCACTCAGTCCATACCACCTTATTCTAACAAGTACCATCTGTGTAGAAGTGAACACTCACTCCATACCACCTTATTATAACAAGTACCATCTGTGTATCAGTGTGCACTCACTCCATACCACCTTATTATAACAAGTACCATCTGTGTATCAGTGTGCACTCACTCCATACCACCTTATTCTAACAAGTACCATCTGTGTAGCAGTGAACACTCACTCCATACCACCTCATTCTCCCAAAAGTAGCAGATACACTGCAAACAGCATGGGTAATGGGATGCAACCCTGCAGCACCCTACCCAGTGGTAGAGGGAACCAGCCTGAGGAACAAGCCCCAGACTCCCCACACACTGGCACCTCCTGTAAGCGACGAATGGAGCCTATTGCAGACAATCCACAGATGAGCCACATGCACTGCGACAGACACGCCACATCCACCGTGCTACACGCTGCACAGACGCAAAGCAGAACCAAGATGTAGCGCTCTTCTGACCAGAGGTCGCAAACGGGTTTTGATTCCTTACCCGTACCCGTACCCTACCCGAAATGAGTGACAAACGGTTACTCGCCAGTGACTCACGGCCTACCTGTACCCGTACCCGGCCGCACCAGGGTCGCAAACGGGTACCCGTACCCGTACCTGGCCGGGTACGGGTAGCCGGGTATCGGGTAGGGTACGGGTATCGGGTACCCGGTTGCGACCTCTGCTTCTGACCTCTCACTGTCAGGGTTATCGCTCAGTACTCAAACTAGAGCTGTCTTGGAACCACTTCTCTTCTGAAATCCTGACGGGGGTGCGTCGTGAGCACCGCGGATAGCAAGGCGATCCTCCAGTTGCACTGCGACCGCCTTCTCAACAACCTCGCCCACGAAGGAATGGTTAGAGATGGCTCTGTAGCTAGCGCAACTGTTAAGTGGCAGCGGAAACAGTTCGCGTAGAGAAAATGTTGCTTACGGAGAGCAGTGCATGGAAATATTGCAGACAGCAAGCCCGCAGAAGGAGACATCACAGAACCATTTCTGAGATTACATCAAGATGATCTATTTTTAAAATACCAAGGCCATTTAAACCTGCTGGCGAGCATCTGACTTTTATGTAACATTTGTATTTATCTATCCAGGAAAGCCACACTGAGTCACTGGACGTTTCTTGAAGAGGGTTCTTACTTTAAGATGGTTTCAGCAAACCAATGACGAGCGTTTATGCGTGTGGGAGGAAACCGGAGCACCCACGTGCGTAAGGCAGCAACGCAAAAAGGAAACAGATGGCGATGAGTCCGTTTGCTGTGCTGCCCTCTCCTGGCGAGCCAGGGTACGGCACCTCGATGTCCACCCCACGTGGATCCAGCAACCCTCGCAGCCTCCGCAGTGCCGGAGTGTCGGCCACGTGCACAGCCACCGCCGCCAATGTGGTTTCATGGACCACAGCCATCTGGACAACGGACTGACTACTCACACTTCATATGGTCAAATGAGGATGTTCTCATCACTGGAATTCGTGTTTTCTTCAACTTCTCCCTCTGACTTCTCTCTCGATACTGAACACCATTGTTATGTGGCCTTTATTTTTTCCAATTCTTTGAATATTTGCGCAAAAACAACCTCGTTATGATGGAATGATCTCGGTTCATTTTTAATGCTTCCCCTTGCCCAAATATTGACATCACTTTCACGTGGTTCCCACGCTGGCATTCAATGTCCAATGCTGCTGAACCTCCCCACCACCTTCAACAACAACGACCGCAGCTCTGCTCACAGGAGCCATCGCAGAGTGCCTACGTAGCTACCATCATCATCATCATCTTCTCCATCACTACTGCAAACACCTTTGCTTCTTCCTCTGCGAGATGTCCACCTCGGGTTGCCACGGGACGTCCTCTGTTGGGACTGAGAATCTAGTGTTAACAAAACTAAAACTATTTTTTATTTTCCTGGGTAAGGCCCACCGAGCAATACCGCTCTCATTTCATAAGCGAACCGGACCACAAACGATAGCCCAACGAAGTAGCATATCACGTGGAAATTTACAGCGGCCAAATATTCTAACCAGCATGGAGGCCTGTAGTCTCACACAGTGACCCACAGACGACCGACTCGTATCGATGCTGTGGTGTAGCGTGCTCCGACAGGGCCGAGAAGCCGGTGTCAACATCCGCACCCCTCAGAGACACATCCACACGCAGGCGGACGGTGGAAATGGTCATGAGGGAAAATCGCTGCACTTTTCTGCGCACGCCACGACGAAGATAAGTTTGTCACACGGCAGTCGAAAATTATGGGAAAATTAAATTAAACAAAACGCTTTTCTTCGCGCAGTCATTTAGCAATCGAGCCGAAACAACTCGCGATGATTGAGAACTCGGTTTAAATCGCAGACGGCTAACCGACTCTGACCCAGAATCTCACAGTTTGCCGACTCAGCGCCCCGATATCCCCGGTGCTGCCCGGTGACCTCAACGCGTCGCAAGAGTCCCCAACTCGCTGCGTTGCTCCGTAGGGGCGGCGGAACCAAACGCCGTCTCAGTTGATTTGAACCTTCATCCACTGGCACACCGGAGCCAAGGCAGCGCAGGGGCCCCCACATGGCATGGGCAATTCCCGTCGTTTTCCGCGGAGTGCTAAGATGGCCTCACGAGACATCTGAATCTGGCTCGAGGCAAAGCAAGGCCAGACCTCACAAGGTTTTTCAACGCAAGCGACGCGAGTCGGCGCAGTGCGGGGGGAGGCAGCGTTGGCGCGCAATCGACGTCAGCGGCACGGCTCAGCAGATGTGGGGGAAAGACAACCGGGCGCCTTCCGAGCCGCACCGAGCTAGCTCGGCCCCGGCTCGTTGGTAGCGTGGATGCGAGCTGCGAGAGATGCCACCATCACGGATTGGTCAAAGTTGTTGTCGGGCAGCCACGGCGAAAGGAACGCCCGGATTGGACGCCGGGGTACGTGGCACGACGCCCATTGTTAATGCCGGGCGTGGGTAGTTCTGGCGTGAACGGAGCGCCCCTCTGCTTTTGCAACATTTATTCTACACCGGATATTACAAACGTTGACATTCTTATCAATATTATCCAGAGCAGCAGCGGCTGATGGGAGAGAGGAGAAGTGCTCCGGCGTTGTGCACGCTCACAGATTGTCAATTTCCGTGTCGATCCGAGCCAAATGAGTTAGAGGTTTACTGCAGGGCAATAGGAGAGGTCAAGACAAAGAAAGGGGAAGGGCTCGTAAGAGAAGCGGCCCAAATATCTGCACGACACAATTTTGAAATACTCCCTTTGCAAGGTCAATTATTTGTTTAAGGCAAGCGTTAGGGATCAGCAGAGCGAGCCATGGCCCCGAATAAATCGAACGCGGCAAATGGGACCTGCTTTTGCAGGCACGATTGACTTCTGTGCCTTAACCCGTTACAAGAGTGAATACGAATACGATGAATACAAAAGCCATGCAATTCGTAACCTCCTCCACTTACGCCGACATTCAACGCTGCGAACTTTCTTTCGAGTTCCGCTGAGGCAAAGCAAGGCCGGCCCTCACAAGGTGTTTTAACGTAAGCGACGTGGGTCGGCGCAGTGCGGGGGGAGGCGGCGTTAGCAAGTAATCGACGTCAGCTCAGCAGCTGCGGCGGAAAGACAAGGCAAAGAAAGGGGAAATGTCACCTGAACGTATACATGTTCATACCGAGCATGATGACTCTCAATCATCCCTATCCCGATTTACCTGCAACGCACGCTTGAGCTCACAACACTGAGTGCAACTTGCACGCGGTGCGCCACCTTGCAGGGGCCTAACGAGTTACGGCTTCATCAACCAGAGAGGAGTTTCCACTCCGACCACGCTTCGACGGTGAGGCCGCTTCATCCCTCTGTAACTTGGGCCGTGCTGTAACTCTGGTCGGCTCTCCTCTCGGCCGAGTTTTAAACACCCCATGTCCATCTTCAGTCTCCGTCTACCTCTGTTGCTTTTTCCCCATTCTCTTTGCCCAGCAGCAAAGGCTTCTCCTCGACCCTCCACCACAACCCCCAGCGCTCCAGCGGACCACCGCTCGTTATTACTCAGCTGGTAAGCCGCAAAGAATTGATAAGTGTCGCTGGTACATGGCTGGTTTCTTGTGGTCGTGTAAAAACATGCCTTTGATTTTGTGTTGAGTGGCTTTAAATACATTTATTAAAATGACCCCGTGCGGAATTTATAGCCCGTAGCAGCCATACCTTGTGTAGTCCGTTGACTCCCGTGTGCCCTGCTGTTAAAATCATTTAAAAAGCATAAAAGCAGCCTCTTTCCGACACCGCTGTCTTCGCAACTTTAAAAAGCAAAGCACCGGCAACAACCCTCGGCATCGCATCACGAAGTCGAACAGATCGATGAGCGGCGTTGCATTCACCTGCTTGGGGTCGGCACAGGGCAGAGGCGACTCGATCTGGATGGTGACTGGGCCATCGTTCTCAATGTGCACACGCATGAGTGCTCCAAACTTGCCATCTGCGACACACACAAAGACAAAGACACCCCACCACCCCCGTGTAGCCTTAGCAAAATGTTGGGGCGAGTGCTGTGAGCGAGTAGCACCTATGAAGGCCGGCACCGTGGGACACGAGGGGGTGGGTGGCCAGCACCATGCCCGGCCGACTTTGTCTCCCGAGTGGCGATGATTGCACACCGCACCAGGTACTCATTTAAGGCTGAGTCGACCTAGGGGAGGCACAGGACCGGTTCAGATAAACGTCACCGGTGTTGGCCGTGAGCGGGAATGGAAACTGGGTCGCCAAGTTCGTAGTGCAGGGTAGCGCTAACCGCTACACTACCGCTCCGCACACACACGCACAAAGACAAAGATCCCCTGTATAGCCTTAACAGACTGTAGGGGCAAGTGCTGTTAGCGAGCACCTATGAAGGCCGGAACGGTACACGAACGAGGGGGTGGGTAGCCAGCACCACGCCCGACCGCCTTTGTCTCCCCAGTGGCAATGTTTACACACCGCACCAGGTACTCATTTAAGGCTGAGTCGACACACACGCACACACGCGCACGCACACGCACGCACACACGCACGCACACACACAAGCCGTAAGTCACGTGGATCCACACCGTCCACAGTCTCCGTGGGCACAGACCAGCAATGTCCCTTGCTCATCCCTGCGCTTGACAGCGCTGCACCGTAATGCACTGTACGGCCCGTAGCCATTCCACTGCTGGACGTAGGCCACCCAACGCCGCGTCGGTCGCGTGGACTGTTGGACCATACTTCACCACGCCGGTCAGCGCGGGTTGGGGAAGGGGAACAACACGGTGCAACTTTATGACGGAGAAGCAGGAAGCTCATCCCGCACCGCTGATTCACGCAGTTGGCTAAGTACGGTGCGGAAGATGTTTGACGTGCACGCACGCATCCCGCTTGTCGTTATTGCACTGTTTTACACCAAGAAACATTTAACAATTGGCTAGCGTGTCGGGCGAATGGCCCCGCTTCAGAGCGAACGGATTCACAGCACGTCCACGCCACGTTATCTTCACGATCAACATGACCCACAAACGGCTCTCCCAGCCTTACGCAACGTATTCAGGTTGTGCTGCAAAAGTGGAGGCTTTGATTCTGCGCCAATTGACTTCGCAATTATTCCAGCGAAGTCAACGAAAGCCGGAGTAACGGGGACTAAAGGAGGCGGCAGTGAGAGAGACAAGGAAAGGCAGAGAGAGAGAGAGAGCGATGGTGGGGGGGACAGGTGTTAGAGAATCACACAGAGACGTGCAGACATCGACAGACACAACAAGTCAGAGAGGAAAACAAAGAGAGACAGAACGAGACAAAGAGATATCGAAAAACAGAGGGAGACAGAGAGACAGAGAGATCCCAAAAAGACAAGGCGATTAGACACCGAGAGATAGGGAAGCACAGAATGGATTGAGACAGAGGGAAAGGTTTATTTAATAAGATGCATGATAAATGATGTCTAGCTCATAATTCCATTTCCCAGTATTCCTAATTAAGGTATTTAGTATTGCGCCGAATAGTTAATACGAGCAAATTCGGTGCACTCCAACTAAACGGAGAACGTGTTTTAAAGCGAAATGACGTCGCAGCAAAAGTGGCACCGTGAAAGTAGAGAGTGAAAACAGACAGAGAACCACGAAAGCCGACGACGACGACGTTCAACTGACCGCGTTGCGTGGACAGCGAAAAGCAGAAGCGCAGAAGTCACCGGAGCGAAGGCGGCCGCGGCGCGAGAGGCGTTCGCTGGAAATGAAACTCCCGTCAATCAATGACAGGCAAACCCCGGCACCTGTGGTTAGCACGGTCGGCTACGTACGGTGCGAAAGAAGTTGAACATTCATGCTCATAAAAATACAATAATATTTTTGTATATTCGCTTGAAAACAGATTAATCTTTTCTGTGAATTCCCTTTGCGTGTCTCCACCTGGCAGCTGCGGCCCGCCAGCGTTCAGACCGCACCGCAGCGCTGCAAACCACACGGTACGTGTCAGGATCCTCGTAGTGAAGCGTTCTGATCCAAGAACCTCAAGCACGGATCGATTTCCATATAAATTTGATATTACCAGACGAGCCGGTGATGCTGCCCGCATTTTATCGGTTCAACTCTCTCCGGATCTCTCCCCGGCGAAAGAGGCGAGGCGTGAGAGTAACCGCGCTGCCGCAGACGCTTCAGAATTGTGTCTTTGTACAGCTCCTGCCGGGCATTAAATGCAAAGGGATGAGCAACGAGGCTCCTCCGTGATGCCATTCATTCATTCGCCGGCGAGGGAGACGGGCGCAAGATATCTTTAAATTCCATCTGATGGTGGCTCCTCACTATCAGACGGAGAGTGAACGATGAACAACTCAGAGTGTGAACGACGCGGAGAGTGAACGACGCGGAGAGTGAATGATGAACGACGCGGAGAGTGAACGACGCGGAGAGTGAATGACGCGGAGAGTGAATGACGCGGAGAGTGAACGACGCGGAGAGTGAACGACGCGGAGAGTGAATGACGCGGAGAGTGAACGACGCGGAGAGTGAATGATGAACGACGCGGAGAGTGAACGACGCGGAGAGTGAATGATGAACGACGCAGGGAGTGAACGACGCGGAGAGTGAACGACGCGGAGAGTGAATGACGCGGAGAGTGAATGATGAACGACGCGGAGAGTGAACGACGCGGGGGAGTGAATGATGAACGATGCGGGGAGTGAACGATGAATGATGCGGGGAGTGAACGATTCACAATAATGCTTTTGTTGGTCGTTAATTCAAGAAAGCACGGAATAAATGTGACCATGTAACGTCAAAGCAATGTGGCCAGGGTTGAACTGTGTTTCTTTTATCTAAGCGATACATTGAATTACTAAGCGATACATTGAATTACACGAGAGCCCACTTTTTATGAGTGCGCAGTGGGTACCACGAGTAACATCTAAGGCTGAGGCTGGGGAAACTCCACTGGAGCACGTGGACTCGAACGCTGACACGCCATGGCCAACGCCGCGAGGGCTGTGACACACGCGTCTCTTGCCACATCACCGGGTCGCGACTCGACGGGGAGTCAGCGGGCGCCTGGAGGGGGGCGATGATGTACGTACGTACGTACGTTTAACTTTCGCACCGTACGTAACCGCCCGTGCTAATCGGAGGTTGCAGGATAAGGACAACAAACCAAACACAAGAAGCAGTTCTAAAGGAGTGAGATTTCAATTTAGACGATGAATTAAAAGTTCATAGCTTCAGTGGTTTCATAACATCGTAAGGAAGAGCGTTCCAGACGGCCGCAGAAGCGCACCTGAAAGCGCCGTGCGATGCGGTGACAATCCTCTTTGTTCGACGACTGAGCCAAAATTCGCTGCGAGGCTGACCGGAGCTTGCGTGATGATGGTTTACGCTCCTTGACGAGATCAGCGAGGTTTTGTCGTTAATGTGCAACAAGCGCCTTGTGAGTAACAATCGCGACCTCGTAACGTATCCGCTCAGCAACCGGAAGCCGGATCTTGCAGTGCCCGTCACGACACTGCTGTGTGTGCGCGTGTCTCTGTGTGTACAATAATCCCGATTCAGTCGATCCTGGCGAATTTTCACATTTGGCAAAATGTCGACCCCCACGGCAGCACACGAAGGCCTCCTCCTGCGAATGTGGCACGTTGTCATGGTTGCGACACCCGCAGTGATACTCGGCAATAAATAACAGTGTACAGTTAAACAGTGAATTTATAAAACATATAAATTAGAGCTACTTTATGGCTTGGATTAGCTAAAAATTGGGGGCAGGTTAATAGTTCTGCCATTCAATTTCACGTTTTAACACTCTTGGGGTGTTTTGTTAAATCACTTAACTTCGTAATAAGCGTAGAATATTAATATTCTACATCTTAAAATTCGTATTATTATTTTAATTCCATCCGCACGAAAGGTTAATTCGTGCTTATTTCCTTGTTCTGAGGTAAGGAAAACTCTGCTCGGAATCACAACATGCTCGGTCCGTTGCGCACACACTCCGTATCGCCGGCCATCTACGTATACATTCTGCTACTTATCAGCGGACACATTGCCCAAGGGGGAAACCGCTCAAATCTATCGGCCGCAGCGGTTTATTGCGGAGTGTAGGCAACAGATTTCTACGACGCCATTTTGAGTGGGTTACATTACGGCGCTCACGTTATTTCTCAAAAGCTTCGCCAGCCCCCAGTTTAGAGAACACGATGACACATTTTGCTTTTGTAAAGTGCTCATAATGCAGACCATTCAAGGGCGCTTTAATTTACAACAATGCCAATAACAATAAAAATAATAGCGCAATGCCAACTTGTAGAATGGCACTGCCACCACCGCCACACAGCGTTCGCTCATCGCTGTCGTGCACGGAGAGAGAGGGAGGGGAGGGCGACTCAGAGGCACCAGGAGGAGGAGGAACCACGTACGAGAAGCGGGGGAGGCAGCAGGGAGGCAGATTGCCGCCACGAAGACTCTCAAAAGACAAAGCCCCTCCGTATCTTCACGCAATATCTACGTACAAAATATCTCTTAAGATTCCACGAAGGTACGGCAGTGTTATACATGCCGAAATTGGGCAAAAGGCTTAAGAGGATATCAAATCATAAAGCACGTACAACAAAAACACCGTGGCCAAGTCGTGCGTGCACACGATCTCGTCAGATCTGGGTTAAGGCTGGTCGGTGCATGCATGGCGAATCACCAAGCACAAGCAGGTCGCCAGGGGCCTGCGTGGGCAGTGCAGCGACATTCAGAAACGTGCGCCGTCGTTTCAACTGGTGCATCACGAGAGCGCGGCGTGGGAGTCATTCCACTGCATCGGCATCCCTCACATTTTACGGACGTGGGGCCAAATTTATGTAGCGGTGCAAAGCCATCACTCTGTCTCCCTTTGGCCGAGCGACAGATGCATTCGTGAGAAACTACGGCCAAAACATTTCCTGTTATTCACTCAAAGCTGCCAGTACCTGTGGACCGCGTCCCTCCGCGCGTTAGCCTTCTGCGCGGAGAGACGGTCCACAATTGCCAGGGCCAGGCAGCGGGCAGCGGACAACGCGTGAAATTGGTCCACAAGCGACGGGCTGCGATCGCGACCGCGCGGTGGGGCCTGCGCGGAAGACCCTCCGAGGAACGTCACATTATTTATCAGGTCATCCGGGGTTGTTCCTTCCGCTTGCAAGGTGTGGCAGAAAATTCACAACTCGCCAAGCCCCCCTCTCCTTAACCCTCCAAAAGACTGGCCTGCCCCAGCGGCATTGCCCCACGTTGCATATTTTATGGCGATGTGCATACGTGAATCCGAAGTACGCGGTAATGTATGCTGCATGCAAATAAAGGCGTGCTTGCCATTCTGCAAGCTCCAAACCTCTTTAAGTAAATTCAGCTACAGCCGCTCTCTCTCGCACCGAGACAAAGGTCCCCCGTGTAGCCTGTAACAGACTGTTGGGGCAGGTGCTGTTCGCGAACACCTATGAAGGCCGGCACGGCACACGAGGGGGTGGGTGGCCAGCATCACGCCCAGCCGCCTTTGTCTCCCCAGTGGCGGTGTTTACACATCGCACCAGGTACTCATTTTGAAGCTGAGTCGACCTAGGGAAGGCCCGGGACCAGTTCAGATAATCGTCACTGGTGTTGGCCGTTAGCGGGAATCGAACCCGGATGGCCAGGTTCATAGCGCAGCACGCTAACCACTACACTACCGCTCCCCGGTACGTGCACAGATACACACAACTGAGAATTATACGAACACCAAATTTTGCATGTGCAAAGCGTACATACAAGTGGCTTACATACATACAGCGTAAGTTGTGCATATTTATGCACGCATACATGTATGCATATTACGTGTCTGTATTACTACACGAAAGCCCGGTGCTAGGAGTGGCACGTTATGGGTCACACACCAGGTAAGGCCCACCGAGCTGTATGACTCTTTTTCAGAAGGAACCTGGCTTTCACAAACGAGAGCTCAACAAAGTGGCTGATTTTATCGCAGCCAAATACTCTAAACGCACGTTTCTAAATATGGAGGGAAAAACCGGAAGACCCGGAGAAAAATCCACACTACCAAGGGGAGAGTGAGAGATATGAAAACTCCCAATATACAGCAGGCGTGAGGGTCGGGATAAAACCCACGACCTCCTGTATACCAGGCGAGGTAGTTAACATCTTGCCACTGCGGCACGCATATTAGTTTATAGTTTACACATACTAGTCTACACCAAACATTTATACTTCACTGCTTCAGCATGATACAGAAGATTCACAATAATGCTGTTGTTGGTCATGAAAGCACGGAATAAATGTGACAAGACTGGGTAGAATAACCAACAAAGACATTGTGGATAGAAGATGTGACAAAGAAGATGAATCCACGTCCAGTTGCGCGTGGGGGGTGTCCCGCTTCTAAAGGGGCACTGAGTCACCGACAAGAGCAAAAAACGTCGCCACTCGGAATGATTTGCCGATCAATCGTCCCGCTTTACTTGAGTCACGAAAGTTATAATCCCAGCAAGTGGTGAGCTTGCCAAGACAAATTCTCCATTGCAAACGCAGACCGCGTAAATATTGCAAGCATATCCGTGATAATATTTTGATCGGGGGGGAGGGGGGGGGAATTGCGTGCATTGGTTTAGGAGGTTTTTTGTTATTGAGAAACCACACATTTCAGCTTCCGCAAATTCGAGGCACAAGGCCTGATAACACGCTGGGAGGTTTTTTGGTTTGTAGATTGGAGCCAATATTATTTGTTTGTCACCATACGAGCGTAATAAGAAAAACGTCACATATACAAATTTGAACTTAACTTCATCTCACGATAAAAATAATAATTTGGAAGTGCACTGCCACAACTATTCACCGAGCCTCCTCGTTCTAAACATCGACGTTCCCTTGCTCGCTTATGCCTCGTTGTGTGCGATTTCAAATCCACAACTTATTTCATTGCTTGATATCACTTCTCTCTCACAAACTATTAGTTCACCTCTACCAAATGCACAATCCTTGACTTTTAATTTCTACCTCACATCAAGCCTCTATCTAAAACCGCATGGATTATTTTTTCCAAATTAATTCCACATTTGCGATCCTTAAAAAACTCCAAGTGGATTGAAAGCCACGTTCAAAATGCAAGTCGATTCCCTTCGGAAGGACAAAACAGTCTGTAAATCCCATGCCAAATCTCATCAATTACCTTTCTTTGGCCACATCTGTGTTTACCTCCTCATTAATATCTTCCGGGGCCTGTAACCTAAAATCCTTCTTCCGTACAATGCACTCTCTCCATTAGCCTCAAAAACCCAGCTGATGTAATCACCCGAACTATTGCAATACTGTTGTTACTTTTTTTTAAAGGAAAAAAAAACATCAATAATTCTGGTCTCTTTTGATCTCCATCAACAGTACAGCCAGCTGGCCCTCCTCTCGTTCCTTACCGCTGCTGCTCAGCATTCTCCAGTCCGTGGTCTCATAACGCCATCGCTCCCATGACCCCAGCACAACAATATTCTTCCATCCTTGTCGACACCGCCCGGTTACTCAGGGCCTGCCTACTCCGGCCACTGGCATCACACCGCATCGCACCATGCAGCGTAACGTCCTCAACCCCCTCACTTATTTTGCTGCTCATAAAACACTGCCACGGGTTAACAAGGCACCTGGAGTATTCGGCAGCCCTCTCACCCGACACGTACACACCACGCACTCCTCTCGCTCGATACAAAAAACACAAATACTTAAATGAGTCATCTCGCCCTCTCTCCCACGGCTCCAATTATCCGTCTCCCAACGGCTTTCACAACTCTGTTCAATGCAACGTCTACGCTGACCTCTCCACTGATCAACAACAACTACTAAGTGTGGCTGCTTCTCTCCGTTCACCGTGACCCACTTTGCTCGTTCTCGTGGATTGCTCTGCGTTTCCTACGCTCCTCGAATGTCTTCAGAACGATCACGTGACCTCTCACGTGACCTCTCGCGTCTCTCTCTTCGCTGTGCAGGAATCGCTCCAACCCGGTGCAATGCCGCGAGTTGGCTCGGAGTCAAGTGAGAAGCAAAACGCTCCCACCTGCTCCTGCATTTAGAAGGATTTTCGCAAATCGGGGTCACCCATCAATCATAACTGTGCTGTCATGTTCGTAATGTAGAGGTCGCAGGTTTTTATTTGTCGTGTCTTTAACATTTGTGCTGCCTGCTTTGGACTGTTAGTCCCTGCCTATACTGTATTGATTACATTGTTCCATTAATTATCATATATATAAAAAATATATATAAAAGATATATCTATTATATATATACTATATATATCTATTTTATATATATATTATGACATGAACTGAAAATAATGCATCTAAAGCAAAGAAACTGACTTTAATCGATGTACTATCAATCATCATCATAAGCCAAGATCAATCCACTACCTTTGCTACTCGAGTTATAAGCATAGGCCCCTGTACTTAACCAGCCGACCGTGGCATTTTCCACGAACCAAACCGGCTCGGTAGGCGAGGGATCGCCGTACCACACGGGAGCGACTGCCGCTCCGAGCGTGACCCCCCCGACCCCGCACCCCACCCACCTTTGACGAGCTCCGGGCTGTACGCGCTGCGCAGGCGCTCCAGGAAGAGGTGGTAGAAGGGCTCGGCGCACTCGCCCGCCATGGCGAGGTGGAAGTCGGGCTTGTTGCCCTTGAGCACGGCCTGCAGCGTGAACTGGCTGACGCACAGCACCTCGCCCCGCGCCTCCGCCACGCTGGAGCTCCACGGGCGGCCCTCCGCGCCCTCAAACACGCGCAGGCCCAGGATCTTGCGCACCCTGCGCCGCGCAAATGGGCGAAGGCCGACCCGTCGTGCCGGCACGGAGGGCGTCTTAGGAGTTTAGGGGTCACCCCCCCGCACGTCGTGTACGTGGCACACGGCCGGGAGACGTGAACGGATCACCGTTTAAACCGCGAGCCGCCGTACGGTAACGTGGAACTCACTGGACTGGAAACTTTTTAAGTTCGCCGGTGGTGGTTCGATCTCCCCGTGACGGGCCAGTTGAAACGACGGGGGCAAATTTCTTAATCCCCACGCCTCCGTTCATCCCAGCAGAGAATAAACGGGTTCACCGCAGCGAGTGGAAGGACAGGTCGTGTACGGTGGGGTAAAGTGTGGGTACTGTCACCTCTTTTAAGACATCTGGTTGTTTCGGAAAAATCAACCAACTGCCCCCTCCCCCCCCCCCCGAGAGCTCCCTCTAGTGGAAGCCTTTTCGTAAACAGCGGTGCGAGCAGAGCAAGCATGAGCAGAGCTCAGAGCTGTCAACCCATAAGGGCAAATTTTTTTGACACATTTTTCGTGTTTCCCCTTGTAGGATGAACGTTTAGGTTTATACGGGCACGGGGTAACCAACAAGGTAGGCACTGATAACAGGCTTGACAGGTATGAGAGCTGCACCTTTAACTTTTAACTTGAGAAACGAGGACAAATGCACAAAACAACGTCCCGAGCATATTTTGTCAATGCTGCCCTGTATGTATCTGGAGGCTTTTTGGGATGAGCGGTAGCAGAGTGCCTGGAGCTGTCACTAAGGTACACGGCGAATCGGGGCGACTGCCCTGAGCCCCACGCTTTGGGGGGCCACACGCTGCGACGTCACGGTGGTGTCAGACGTAATATGTCCGGTTTAGTTTGAAGGCGTCGGGGGGGCTCACACGGTGGGATTTTCCCCAGGCCCAGCACCCCCCCCCCACTCTCCAAGGATGGCCCTGCTTAGAGCGCTGCCCTATGAACCTGGTGAAGCGTGCGTCAAACTATCTCTCGGACCAACAGGGCACGGCCCTCATCCAGCAGCGGATTGACAAAAAACGGGGGCGGCCCGTACACGCACGCGTAATGGCACCGCGATAACGAGGACGTTCCGGACGCGGGGGTCGCAGCTCTCCGTAAGCGAACCGCGGCGTCGGCGTTGCGCGTCTCACATGAAGTCGATCTCCCTCTCCGTGTCGTCGCGGGAAATCCCCAGCAGCACGCAAAGTCCTCTTCCGATGGAGCTCACTTGCTCTCCAGCGACTGCACACACAACGAACGCCGAGTAAGCGCGAGCATCTCCAAATGGTCCGCCGCGTCCGTTGGCGCTCGTCCTCGCTTACATGGAGCGCGACTACGACGAGCCACATGCCAGCCGTGCCTTGGTTTGCCTAAAAACTGGACCGGCAGAAGCTGACGGGCGATAAAAAGGTACTCGGAGCTCAAACTCCACGAATAAAAACTGTCGTCGAATGCGACCTGGCCAAAAGAAAACTTAAAACTTTCAGGGCAAACTCTTCGTAAATGCAATTGCCCGCCCTGAAGTACGATCAATAACATTCTGCATGTCAGAAAAAGTGTGGCAGGTAAAAATGAAATGCAGACGAATCTGTACCCTTTAGACATGTCAACAGTCACGCGGCATCAAGTGCTGATAAAACAACCACATGTAGGTCAAACACAACCGCGTATTCACGATTTCTTCCCTACAGGTGGATGGGTTCAAGCAATGCTAAAGCTGGAACCCGAGGGTCTGAGATTCAGGTGGCTCAAATCTAGAATCTGAAACAATCTGTCAAATAATTAAATGAATCGACTAAAACGTTTAATTGTCACAGCTTATTGGGGCCCTTATAAAATGGCAGCCACCCTCGCATCCTGCAGGCCCAGCGAGACGCGGTTGATGACGATGTCAATGATGTCACCAAGCCTCGCCGATAACCTCCCGTCCAGCGGCACACGTGGAAACGTCAAAACTTTTTTTCCCCTCAAACTGCAGTGTTCTCATGTTGCCCAGTTCGACAAATAATCGAACCTGATAATGGAGCGAGTAATCCCGTACTTAATTGGATAGTTCAGCTCAATAAAAAAAATCCCAATTTGAAAAAGCAACATTGCAAGTGCTGAATTATAGTTACGATACTGGCACAAAATAGGCAAAGCATGTGAATTGTCAGTTTCATTTAAAGTTGACAGGAGGCTGCGCACTTTCATAAAACGACTTAACAGGCAGTCCTCGGCTTACGAACTCAATTCGTTCCTGAGACGCGTTGGTAAGTCGAACGGTTCGTAAGTCGGCAACACAGCAATGCACTGTATTTAAATGCCCATACGGTTATGAAACATGTGACGGTTCAACAAAACGGGAAGCATCGTTAAACTCGTTACATCTTGTGCAGGATCGCTCCTCTGAACAAAATAAAGTCAATTTTGTTTTAATACTTCGTGGAAGCTGCTTCGTAAGTTACGGCCGTTCTTAAGTCGGGCGTTCGTAAGTCGAGTCTGTGCAAAGTGGCTCGGCATTCACAGCCCCTGTCGTCCAAGGTGGTGCAGTGGTTAACGCACTCCGCTATAGACGCCGCCAACACAGGATCATTATTCCGAGCATCGGCTAACGTCAGTGACAAGTGATATCTGAAGCGGTCCAGGGCCCTGATTGACCAAGCCGAACTGGTGAAGTACGGTCAAACAATCCCCGTGGTTAGAAATAACATGGAGCAAGGCATCATTCGGCAGTGGCTTGACGAACGGTTGCAAGTTACGAGGAATTCATTATCTAGCCAATTAGAAAATCACCACAGCACATCGACAGTACCACGACACAGCATGTGAATGTGCAGAATGGACACGCCATTGTCTCCCCAGTCAATACCAAATCAACTACAAGATTGCCTCGCTCTTTTCATGATGCTACGTGGACTGGCGCATGCCTAACGCTCCCCTCTCATCCATTAAGGTCCATGCGCTCTCCACTACAGATGTTAAGGCCTCCATCAGTCTGCAGTCGACCTCACTCAATGGGAGATTGCTCCTTCCAATCTGTTGCCACCTTTTGGCCTGGAACACACCCCTCTCTTGTTAAAGTCCACATTAAAGATCTCCCCCATCTCCTCTGCCCATGACCGTCTATAAAATATCTTCATTCCCACCAACGCTGCAGCACGCTTCGTCTTGCGGCTGCCAGCTCCTCAGCCGCTCCAGCTCCCAGAAGAATTTGAAAGAAAAGAATTCTTCCTTTCCCGGCTTCCAAAATGCTTTTCTCCATTTATGCAGTGATTTGAAATCCAGTGGCATATGGATGCCCCGACAAAAAATTGTATTCATGTAGTCGCATTTTTTCACATACTTGCAACGAAATTACAATTCTTGCTTAATTGTAACGCTTTCGTTTTACATAATCCACTGGCACACCAACCATAGAGTCTGCCAAAAAAAACCCCAACTTTAACTACGCCACATCTTTATGAAGTTTAACTCTTTTTTAATTTGCTCGCCTAAAGGTCGAATCGTCACATCGAAATTGAGTATCCCCCCGACAGAGGGAGGTGATGTCACTGGACGTGAGAGAAAAGAGCGTTCTCGCTCAAACACAGCAGGCGTCTCGCGCCCAAGCGTGTCACGGGTACGAGTCACCGCTGGAGCAATTTTAACTCGTCAATTTCATCAAAAGTGGTCCTGTGGTGAGTGGTCACAGACCACTCGGAATTGTCGCTGGTGCACAATCCACGCGAATGAGCTGTCCGACACGCACTAAACTCAGCTTCGTGATGTATATTCTTAGGTTTTTTCGGTAAAGTCACGTAGGTAAAAAATTAAAATTAATAAAAGTAAAATAAAAATAAAATAAAGATCACGACGTTTCGGAGGCAACACAAGCTTCTGTCTTCAGGTGGACTACTACAACTTCGTGATGTAGTTGGCCACATTACATCGAATGTCCTTCCAAGTGGTGCTGTGGACGGTGGTCAACTTCCAGGCGAGAGGGCTGTCAATCCAAATGTGTTTTCGGAAAAGTCACGTAGGTAAAAAATAAAATGAAAACAACTAAATGAAATCACGACGTTTCGGGCGCAACACAAGCGTCCGTCATCAGGTGGGAAAGCATGGCCTGCTGCTGATGCAGACTTTTTACCTACGTGACTTTAGCGAAAAAAACAGAGAGTATGAATCCTTGCAGTCACGAAAATTTCAAATCTAGTGTAGGGGTGTCAGGGGAAGGATTCCCACCAATAGAGGGGTTAGTGGGAGGGGTGATCGAAGAGATATAAGGAGAGAACGGGCGGGAAGAAGGGGCCTTTGGCGGGAACGAGATTGGGACGGCTGGGGACAGGTGTGGATGGAAGGAAAGGAATAAAGGACGAGACCCCTGCAATCTGGTGTCGGCTCCTACTTTACATCTGGTGGCAGCGGTGGGATCTCATGGCTACAAAGAAAAATCCCCGCGGGAAAGAGCCAAGGGAGGAGGAAGCAGGGGCCGGGGATCCTTCCCATCCCGGGCAACAAGGGGGCCTGCTATCAGAAGCAGCAGCAGGGGGCCCGGATCGCCTGGAGGACCCCATGGAGGACCGCATGGCCCGCGTGGAGAGGGCACTCCAGGAGCTCCTACAGAGGCTCCCTATGGGGGGCCCGCCAGCACCGGGACCCCCACTCCCACGCGTACTACGGGAGGAGAGGCCACGGGACTCGGAGGCCGACCAGCCGGCCGGGCAAGAGCCGCAACCAACCTCGTCACGCCAGCCGCCGCCGGTCCCGCCAAAACCCCCAGGGCTAACCACCCAACACGGAGAGCAGGTGGCCGGACGGCCGCGTCGGCTGGGGCCCGTCGACAAGTTCGTGGCTGAGGAAGAAGACTGGGAGGAGTTTGTCCGCCGATTCGAGGCTGCCTTCCACGCTCTCGAGTGGACAGACGAAGAGGCACTACGAGCGCTGCCATCCGTTCTGGGCAAGGAAGCACTCGCCTCTTACACCTCCCTTCCCTCGCACAGCAAGACCACGCTACAGGCGGCCTACGAGGCTTTGGGGGAGATCTATTGCCCGGCGGAAGGAGCCTTTAAACGGTTCCAGGATCGCCAGCGAGGGGCTAAAGAATCCCCTTTAGCCTACAGGGGTGCACTGCTCGTGTTGGCGAGGAGAGCTTTCCCTCGCCTGGCTGAAGAAGCGCTCGAGGACCTCGTGGTCGAGCACCTCATCGCCTACGCTTGCCGCGCCGGCGTTGTAATGCCCGTGGTGATGCCGGGGGAACGCACCTCGCTGTGGGCTGCCCGGACCATCCAAGCCCACGAGCAGGTCATGGGCCGGGCGCCACCCGTGGGCCCGGTGGCTGGCGCGGCGGGGGGGAACAGCCGAGCCGTTGCCGCGGCGCTACTGGGTCCAGCGACACCAACCGCCGAACCTGCACCGTCGCCACAGGCTGCCTGTGGAGCAGCTGGGGACGGACCCCCGACGTCTGAGACGGAGCCATCGCTGCGGGAGGTGTACGCGGCGATCCGGGGACTGGCGGAGCAGAGGGACCAGGGGCGCGACCAACCGCCGCGTCGCTGGCAGCCGCCTTTACAACATCGCGCCGAGCCCCCCCGACGGAACGCCCCGTGGGTCTGCCACCGTTGTGGTCGAGAGGGGCATGTGGCGAGGGGGTGCCGCACGGAGCCGGAGGCCGCCAACGTCACCTGGAACCCGCCGGGGCCGAACGCCGACAGGATCCAGGCGAGTGACGCCGTCCCGCCCGGCCTCTCGGTCGGGCCGAGCAATTATAATTCCGACGCCGCGAACTTACCGGGGGTCTCCTCGGGGTGGGCGCCGTCGGTGTCGTTCCCCGGTCCCCATTGTCCGGGTCGGGGGAAGGGGATCGCGCCGGGGATAGCGCCGGGGCCTGGGATTGCGTCGCGACCAGGGGTGGCGTCGCGACCCGGAGTGGCGTCGCGAACGGACGTGACGTTGCATGTGACGTCGCGGCCAGGAGTGGTGTCGCGGATCGCGCCGGGAGTTGCGCCGGGGCCGTGGACCACGTCGGGGATCGCGCCGGGGCCAGAGACCGCGTCGGGAGTCGCGCCGAGGCCGGGAGGGACGTCGCAGGCGGACGTGACGTCGCGGGCGGAGGTGACGTCGCAGGCGGACGTGACGTCGCGGGCGGAGGTGACGTCGCGGGCGGAGGTGACGTCGCGGGCGGACGTGACGTCGCGGGTGGAGGTGACGTCGCGGGCGGGCGTGGTTTCGCGGGCGGGCGTGACGTCGCGGGCGGGCGTGGTTTCGCGGGCGGGCGTGAC